CCACGAAAAGACGGCCTTCGAGCACGTGTCGAAAGTGCCGTATCGCTAGGTAGATAGATAGAAGTTCGCGACTAAAATTGCTATATCTAGATTCAGATGGTTGCAACCGCTTAGGGAAGAAAGCGAGCAGTTGCCAGGTGTCGTTAATGCATTGCTGCAATACAGCGCCTACCGCCACTTCGGATGCATCGGTGGTGAGCTCCAGAGGGACGTCGGGGACGTAATGCGAGACGGAAGCCATGTTGGAGATGGCTCGTTTCAGGCAGACGAAGGCCTTGCGGGCGTGGTCGGTGGACACGAACCGTTTGGGGTTACCAATAGGTCCGACAGCGGCTGCATCAGCGTAGCACACTGCGGGATGAAAAGTCCATCGAAATTAATGAGGCCGTGGAATCGTCGGAGCTGTTTTAAAGACGTTGGTTCGGGGTACTCTGAAATGGCTACCATCTTGCAGGGGTGCAACGCCGGATTCGGAGATACAGTGACCTAAAAAGTTAAGGCTGGATTCGCCGAAGGAGCATTTTGCGGCGTTGATGGTAACACCGTGTTGACGGAGACGCGTGAAGAGAGCGTGCAGATGCTGTTCGTGCTCCTCGGGAGTGACTCTGGCTACTAGAACGTCATTGAGGTAGGCGAAAGTGTTGTCTAAACCTCGACAAACCTGGTCGATGATAAGTTGAAACGTTTGAGCAGCGTTGCGCAGACCAAAGGGCATGCGCAAGAACTCAAAAAGACCAAACGGTATGGTCACGCGGTCTTGGGAACATCCTCCGGGTGTACGAGAATCTGGTGATACGCGCGGACCAGGTCGATTTTACTAAATACCCTACAGCCCCCTAGACTAGCAGTCGAATCTTGGATGTGAGGGATTGGGTGGCGATCTGGGGTAGTGACGGTGTTAAGCGAGTGGTAGTCACCACACGCCAGTCAGTCGCCAGAGGACTTTTTGGGAACCATATGTAATGGTGAAGCCCAAGGGCTGGAGGATAGCCAGATGATGCCAAGATCCAGCATTTGCTGAAATTCAGCACGGGCTATTTGGAGCTTGTCTGGGGCGAGGCGTCTAGGGCGGCAGTGTATCGGTGGGCCGAGCGTTACGGTATGATGAACGATGTCGGTGGTCGCCTGAGGTAGAGTATCCGGCGGTTTACAAAACTCGGGAAATTCGAAGAGAACAGCACGGAATCTTACTGTGAAGTCTGAAACGTACAGAAGTGGGCTAAGCGACGGAACATTTGCAAGTGTCCCGCGAGTCTCACAAGTGGGGAGACGGTCGATAAGCTTGTGGCTCACCGGATCAACCAATAGGTTGAAGTGTCGAAGAAAGTCAATATCGATGATGGAATGTGGAAGGTCGGCGATAAAAAATACTCAGGGTAAACTACGGCGAATACCGAGGTTCAGTGTTTGTGAATGCTCGCCGTAGATTTTGATAGGCAGCGACCAGTTCCACTGAAGAGAGTCGGTGGAGGTCAGCGGGGCGAGGACGAATGACGCTAACCTGTGTGCCTGTGTCGACTAGGAAACGTATCCCGGTATTTCGGTCTGTGACGAAAAGCAGGCGACTTGATTGTGGCGAGCCGGACACGGTCGTCGCCTGGGCCGCTCGGTTGACTAGTTTCCCGACATGGGAGTGTAAGTGTACTGTGTGAGACACCTCTTTGCGGCGTCACCGTATCGACGGTGATACCAGTAAATCCCGTTCGACGGTGATCGAGATCGTGGGCGCCGGGGGCGGTGGCTCCAATGGTTGTAGCGCGTGCGACGTCCTTTGCGGGGTCGGTGGCGTAATAAGGTTAACGCCTGAACCTGCGCGACTAACGCCTTTACGCAAGCTACAAGTTTGGCGTTGTCGGAGGAGGGTGGTGGGTGCGCTGGTCGGGTGAGGGATTGGACTGACAATTGGTCGGCATACACCCTGTCAGCCATTTTGGCGAGTTCCATTAACGTATACCATTGTCCGAAATACTGCAAGATCGACGACAAGCTCTTTGGTAGAGCTTGTAACCAGGACAACCGGAGAATATTCTTATCAACGTTCAGGCTTGCGGCCTGGCTCTGCATGTAACTTAAGAGTTTTGTTGGAGTATCGAGGCCGTTGTCTCCAAGACACAGGCCACCTAGAAGTTGTTCAAGGCGAAAATCTACGGGCGTACCGAATTTGCCCATAATCGCATCGCGAAGGGCGTCGTAAGGTCGGTCTGGGGGTGGGTTACAGAAAATGTCACGTAGCCCTGGGGTCATAGACCTAGGAAGGTAACCAACTAACTGAGTGAAGTTGGTTAATTGATTGGTTACCCTAGCAAGCTTAAAGCGGGCCTCGACCTGGGCCAGCCAAAATTCTAGATCTTCCGGGATAAACCCCGGTATACGCGCTTGTAGACCCGACACGCTCATCTCCTCCGGTGCTGCACTAGCACTATTCTCTTTTCCCTCGGGATATTGTGAAAACATTATGACAGGTGGTGAGAATTCAAGTAAATAAATAGAAAGATAATATGATGCCCGCTTAAATGTAGATCTTGGTGTACTGGTGCAGTATAAGCCAATGATGAAAATGAAAATAATGTCTAAAAAAGTGTCGAAATGCAAATACCGGGATAAATATACGTATAAGAATTTCTGTAAAAATTCGAA